GCATACTGCTAGCATGGGTGTTGTTTTGGATGACACTAAAGTTTAGTGGGAGTTTGTATTGATGTTTTAAGTTATTAACAATAATTTGTTTACTTTCTGCAGACTTCAGTTTATGGAAATTTTTTGATCATTCCTGGATATATGTAATTTTCTAATTTTTGTCTTATGTTTGGAATATTATATATATTGATCTCATAAGGACTAAACTTGAACCAGTTAGAAATAGGCATGATTGTAATCACATTGCATGTAATTTCCATGCCACTCATCCATGCTTGATCTATGTCATTAGATATGTTGGTATGGTGACCATGGAAGGTAAAGTTACATTATTGAAGTGACAAAAGCCGCCATGATCTCATACGAACATAGAAGATGGACAAGATTGTACCTTAAAGGGGTTCTAATTAAATAAATAACATAAAGTTGCGCACTAAGGAAATTTAAATATAATTGATCAAGAATAACATGTAACCCAAGTGGGAGATTGTTGGAATTTATTTATAAATACAATAATAATTATGGGCTTACATATTATTATATAATTATATTACGCTATTTAAGTAATGAGCTAATTATGTGATTAATTAAAAAGAGTCCATTAGAACCCAATTTGGTATGGACTTAATGAGAGGAAGCCCATTAGGTTATAATTAGGGTTTAATGGGAACCCTAATTATAACCTATATAAAGACGGCTAGGGTTATGGTTCCCACACACCAAAATCAATACGTTCATTCTCTCCCCATTGGAAGGACATCAAGGATTTTACGTTGAGGAAAGCCATAATTTCGAATCTACATTTCATACTCAAGCTGCCTAACTAATGGAGACGGATACGTATATTCTTATTCGATATGTTCTTAATAATTCATTGTGATAATCTTCATCTTTCCAACAAAATCACCACCTACCATGAACAGAGTTCCAAGCAAATGAAAAAAAAGGGAGGAAATTGGTGGGTAATGGAGAATAAGCAGACCAACAAATCATATCTGTTTTAAATTTAATAACTCATCTGGGCTTGAAATCTCATTGAGATGGAAGTTGGATGTCTTTTCTTGTTAATTATGATTTGTCTTCCCTATGTTTGATCCTGTGTTTGATTCCTTGGTCTTTTTTTATAAGAAAAGATGTAAACACTATGTTTACAGACCCAAGAATAGAGCTTTCCATGTGTTAACATACCAAAGTATAGCCATCCCTTTGTTTGAAAATGTAAGGTTTATAATCACATAATTTTTTTTAATACATTAGATCATTGCCTCTAACTCCATTAACTTTTTTCTATTAAGTTGGTTAATCAAGAGGACTAGATACATTAGAACATATAGACCATAGGGACGAGATATGTAATTTTCTCTAACATAAAAATATCTATAAAACAATAATGAACAATTTATATCATTTACGACTCTACCTCTCTCACCCATACACACATTGTTCTTTCTGAAAAAAAGAAGCCATGGAGTTCCATCTCTGGTTACCAACAACTGTAGCAACCATATTTTCCGTTATTTTAGTAGCTTTCCTGATCCATGTCGTCAAGGGGAAGTGGGCAAAGAGAGGGAAGAAAATAGAACCACCTCAAGCGAAGGGTGCATGGCCAATAATYGGTCACCTGCATCTTCTAGGTGGATCTCGCCTACCTCACATGGTTTTAGGTGATATGGCGGAYAAGTATGGCCCTATCTTCACCATCAAGCTTGGTATTCACAAAGTTTTGGTGGTGAGTGATGGGGAGACATCTAAAGAATGTTTTACGACAAACGACAAGATCTTTGCAACTCGACCCAAATCAGAGGCAGTAAAACTGATGGCCTATAACTACGGCGCATTCGGTTTTACTCCGTATGGGGATTATTGGCGACAAGTGCGCAAGACAATGATGCTCGAGGTTTTTTCTCAACGACAAGTTGAGATGCTTGGACATGTTCGGGTTTCAGAACTTAGAGCATCCATCAAAGATATATTTGATGCTTGGGTAGAGAACAACGATGGTGAACATTCAGATAAGGTCATGAAGGTGGAAATGAGCCAATGGTTTGGCAACTTGATGGTAAACATTATAGTTAGGCTTATTTCAGGAAAGAGGTTTTCYCCTAAGGATGAAGAAGGGATTCGRTTTCAGAAGGTGGTAAAGAAATTCTTCSWGTTAATGGGGGCATTTGTGGTGTCTGATTTTATCCCGTATCTTAAGTGTTTGGATGTGGGTGGATACATCAAAGATATGAAAAAGACAGCTGAAGATTTCGACAACATCTTTGATGGATGGTTAAAGGAGCACAAAACAAAAAGAGTGCGTGACCAGCAACGTGAAGGCAGCCAAGTTTTCATGTCTGTGCTTATTGCCATTCTTGAAGGTGCTTCTGAAGAGGATTTCCCTGGTTTTGACCATGATACAGTTATCAAAGCCGCATGTCAAGTAAGTTAAACTCTGTTATATCCTAATTTGGTGATTCTACATATCATGGTTTACAGTATTTTCTGGTATTCTTTTCAATGTTTTCTTCCTTTTTTAGCATGTTGACAATAACCTAATAATCCAAGTGATTTTGGTGTAAATTCGTTTTCGTAGCAACTCTTTGTAGCTGGCTTGGACACGACAGCTTTGACATTGACATGGGCTCTATCATTGCTGCTCAACAACCCAAAGGCATTAAAGATTGCCCATGATGAAATTGATGAGCATGTTGGAAGGGACAGACTAGTGGAGGAGTCAGACCTGAAAAACTTGGTCTACCTTGATGCCATCATCAAAGAAACATTGCGTCTGTACCCAGCTGCACCTCTCTCGGTTCCCCATGAGTCCATGGAGGACTGCGTTGTGGGTGGCTACAACATCCCAAAAGGCACTCGTCTGTTGGTAAATCTTTGGAAACTTCATCGTGATCCAAACATCTGGTCAGATCCCTTGGAATTCCGGCCGGAAAGGTTCTTGACAAGTCACAAGGATATCGATGTCAAGGGAAAACATTTTGAATTGCTTCCGTTTGGTAGTGGTAGAAGAATATGCCCTGCCATTTTGCTTGCCCTCCGATCTGTCCGTGTAACACTAGCTAGTTTGATACAACTGTTTGTGCTCCAAAAACCATCAAATGAACCCATTGATATGACTGAAAGCCCAGGAATGACTAACAACAAAGCAACACCACTAGTGGTCCTTCTATCCCCTCGTTTATCCCCTGGCATGTATTGTTTTGGTTCATGATATGCCACATCCATCCATCWTTCAGTACCASACAATCACCACTTMCAATATGAGCCAGGAACGTGATCCAAATTGGACTGCAAAGTATGGTTTCAGAGTGTGTCAAATAGTCTARTTACTACAAGTTTGATCATTGTGTAACAAAGGCACCTGTTGAATTTGGTTCATGTTGTGTATGATAATAAGTTTAAGGAGATGCTGTGTATGATAATAAGTTCAATATGTTTTTATATTTTTGTGTAATTTGTTTAGCATTTGAGGCCATGTGGCTTGAACCTTGGTTTTAATTACTTAATAATCATATTATGTAATAGAGACCGTGTATTTGATCATAGTTAGTTATTTTAAAACGATAGTATGTTTGGACTATAATGCAATTTATCCATAGACATAGAAGTTGATTTATGTGTTTAAGATGGGTTAGTTGTTCCATGAAATTGCTAGATACGGGTATTAAATTACCTATGGAATCAAGCTATATACCATATGGGAGGTTGAACTTGATGACCGCGTGATACGTAATGATTTAATTCTAGCAAATGAACATATCTTGGTTCATTAGAGAACTCTTGAACTTGATGACCAATATTTCATAATAGAAGCTCAAAAACCTAGTTTCATGGCTTACTTAACTGCTCTGCCACGATCAATGAAAATCAGGTCTCCGCCATCGTTGTAAGACGTATTGTTGGTTGTATTATTCTTTATTCAAAAAGAAACTGTGGTAGATGATATAAATACTTCTTTAATTATTGTTTTTCAGATTATTTTTATTTTATTCTTATAATATGGAAGTACTTTTAAATTTCTTTTGGGTGGCAGAAATGAATCCTCTCGTCCATTTGTGAAACCAAAATCAGCACATGGGAAAGAGTACTGTGTGGTTGTAGTTATTATTGTTATTAAATTTCGTTCTTTATTACCAACTATTAACACTACAATAAAGTTGGGTTTATAGTTTAACTCCAATCTCTAAGCGTTCCAATGGACCGTCTTACAGGAGTTAATTTATAGGATCAAAATATAAAATGTACTATCTAAAAGTGTTGTAATAAGTTTATATGACGCTTTTGGGGGTCTTAACAAGTTTTTTTGGATATTTTTAATACAAAATTTTGCATTAACAACTTTATATGACATTTTTGAGAAAATGTCCTATAAACTCAATTTTTTATAGGACATTTGTTTTTATAGGGTAGTTTTTCAAATAGCACTTTATATTAAAAATGTYTTAAAAAACTTATTACGACGTCAAAAAACGTCATATAAACTTATTACAACACCTTTAGATAAGACGCTTTATTTTCTTGTTCCTATAAAGAGGTCTATCAGGACGCTTAGAAATTGAGAGTGTCCTATAAACCCAATTTTGTTGTAGTGTAAGTATGTCTATATTTTTTAAAATATTATATTCTTTTTTACTGTTATTCTCATTTTGTTTTGGGTCGTTTGTTTTTTCAAAATTATCTCCTAATATCTATCATATATTGTGTATTGGTCTTCAATTTGTCATTTATATGTTTTCTGGTGTTATTTGTAGGAAATTATGTTGAAAAGGTTATTTTTGTAAATTTGTGGAATCTTGAGGACTTGAGTTAAGTTGTGAGGGACTGATTGTGTATTTTTCCAGCTGAATATATAAACTTTTGTATTGTAGCTTTCCAGATCAATCGATTCATTTTTCCTCTTTCAAATCTATCTTCATTGTAAAGGCTCTCATCATCTTGAGAGTTCTTAGAGTTTTGTTAGGGTTTCTGTTTACTTTTTGTTCATGAATAAAAGGTTGTTTCGTTTGAACATGGTATCAGAGGTTCTTTCGTTCTAAGTTGTATAGAACGTATTGTTCTGGTGGTTTACTGTTTGCCTTCGTCGTTGCGAAGAGCGACCGTTGGTTTCTATAGATCTGTGTTCTTTACATCTGATTGTTCTTTGGTCGAATCAAGATCTTTCTCCTTAGATCAATCCTTTCTCCAAGYTGCAGGTAAGTTTCTTTACATTTTCTTTTCTCTTCCTTGGGTTTGGTTTTCTGCATGTTCTTCCCATCGAAGAACATTTCTATGTTCATGTAATCGATTGGGGTAAGTTTTCTGGTACTTTTTTTCTTTTACTCTTGGTGTTATCCAAGATGTTATAACCAGTCCTCCGTTGTGCGAGGCCCTGTTTTGGTTCTGGTTGTTTTTTGTTGTTATTGTGGTTAAAGCTTTGTTATACTACTGGAGTCACCTGTGGTGTTCTCCTCTTGCTCTAGGTCACTCAAGAACTTGGGTAAGTCATCTTTCCTTTCCTGTCCGTAGCAAGGGGACCGAGTAAGTGTTCTTGGCCTATAGGCAGGTTCTTCTTCTTGCTGCTTATTTTTTGTTATATGGTTCTTTTGGTTATGGCTTGAAAGTTGTGGCTTGATAGTCTGGCTTGACCTAGCACCATTGAGTGTTTTAGAAATCCTGCCTATTGCTTTCTTGTCTACCTTTTTTTGTTGTTGTTCTTTTTTGTTTTTGTGATCTCTGTCGTGTGGCTAGATAGTTAGTTTGATYTAGCACCTCTGAGTGTTTTAGGAATCCTGTTGTTTGCTATCTTGTCCACTGTTGTTGTGGTTGTTTGTTYTTGTTCTTTCTCATGGCTGGTCCATCAGCTGTCATTGAGACTCAAGGGATGTCCCAAATTGCTAAATTAGATTTTGGTGATCCCTTGTATCTTCATCCTAGTGACACCAGTGGAACACCCATTTTAAACTTCAAGTTAAGTGGTATTGACAATTATCAAATATGGGCTTGTGTTATGACCTTGGCTCTTGAAACCAAGAACAAATTCGGATTTATTGATGGAACTTGTGTTAGACCTGTTGATGACTCTGTCCTTGAAAAACAATGGAATAAATGTAATTCTATTATGTTGAGTTGGATTTTAAGTTCTGTAACTGAAGATTTGTTTTTGGGTCAAGTGTTTTCAAAGGACTCCTCTAAAGTTTGGGAAGAWTTAAAAGAAACCTATGACAAAGTTAATGGATCAGTTACATTTAATCTTTATCAAAAAATTAACTGTTTAAATCAAATTGGGTCTTCTGTTTCTGAGTATTATCACAAACTAAATTTCCTCTAGAAACAGTTTGATGCTCTTGTTACTCTTCCCACCTGCACTTGTAATGCCTCTCAAGAGTTCTTTAATCAATCTTAGTTAATAATGCTTATGTAGTTTTTAATGGGTCTTGATAATGTCTATCAACCTATCAGGAGCAATATATACTTTCAAGGGATCCCTTTCTTTTTTTCCCTTATGTCTAAGCAATAATCCCATTTTGGGGGTTCTAGTGTGTCTTTTGGTATCAAAAGTCAAAACATTACCCTTTTTAGCAAAGTTGGTGAAAATAAAAGAAGGACAGGWAGGCATCCATCCAATAAACTATGCAAACATTGTGRTATGTCTGGCCATACTATTGAAAGATGTTTCAAACTCAATGGTTTTTCAAAGGATTTTCAAAATAGACCACCTAAACCATCAAATTCTGGTTTTAAGTCCTTGTCTAGTAAGGGTTGTGTAACAGACTCTCATGGAAAAGAAAAACCTCTTCATTCTTCCACACCTTCCCTTTCTAAAGAACAAGTGCTTAAACTCCTTGCTTTGTTGGATCAAAATARCGCTCCTAAGACTRTATCTGCTAATATGACAAGTGTGTCAAYTCTTTATAAATATGGTTGGATTATTGATTCAGGASACAACCAACATATGGCATCTAGTTTTTCAAATTTTGGACAATATGGTTGACATTTCAGATTTAAATCTAAAGGTTAAGCATCCCAATGGAACAGAGGCAAAAGTTAATAAAATTGGAAATTTAAAGTTATCTAACAATGTTACTCTGTTTGATGTCTTAATGGTTCCTGACTTCAATGTCAATCTGTTATATGTTTATAAACTTGCTAGAGATAATAAGTTGTATGTGGGGTTTGATGAATCTCGATGTTATATTTCTCATCAAAAGAATGTAACAGGGATTGGTAGTCAAGAAGGTGGTTTGTATTTCTTTTGACCAATGTGCTAAGAGTAAGTTGCTCCCTGTTTCTGCTTCTTCTGTAATTCAAAATTGTGTTTTGAGTCAATTGTGGCATAGTCGTCTGGATCATTCTCCCGATCAAGTCTTGATTGTTTTAAAAGATTAGTTGCAGATTGGAAGTGATGTTACTCATCCTTGTGAAATTTATCATATGGCAAAACAAACTAGGGAAAAGTTCAGTTCAAGTGATCATAAATCTAAGTCCCTAGGTAATCTTGTTCATTTAGTTGTTTGGGGTCCTTATAGGGTTATTAGCAAGGAAGGTTTTAAGTATTTTTTGGCTATAGTTGATGACTATACTCGTGTTGTTTGGGTGTATTTGTTGAAAGGTAAACATGAAGTGGTTGATAATATTATGTCTTTTTATTATTTGATAGGAACTCAATTTGGCAAGCATGTTAAGGTGTTTAGAAGTGATAATGGAACTGAGTTTACTAATTTCTCTTTAGGTGAGTTTTTTTAAAACTAAAGGTGTTATTTATCAGATGTCTTGCGTTCATACTCCCCAACAAAATGGGGTTGTGGAACTCAAACATCGTTATTTGTTAAACATGGCCATAACTTTTATGTTTCAGGGAGGTATTCCTATAAAAATGTGGAATGAATGTATATTGACTGCTACTTATCTCATAAATAGAATATCTTCCTCCATTTTAGGAGGAAAGTGTCCTTCTGAGCTGGTTTATGGATTCCAACCTGTTTTAACTCATTTGAGGAATTTTGGTTGTCTTTATTTTGCTACCAAAACTAACGTTTCTAATAAATTTTCTTCATGAGCTGAGAAATGTGTGGTTTTAGGTGTGAAACTATTTTTCCCTTTAAAATGAGTTCAAACAAGTTGGATAGTCATGTTAACAGTGCTGTAAATAATCAGAACTTCTTTGACTTATCTTTGGTTCCTCTACTAATCTTTCTGATTTATCACCCAATGATGAGGATAGAGATCAAACTCTCTTGGAGGAAAATAACTGATCTTTGTCTCTTGGTAGTAGCCCAAGTAGAGYTGCCAGTAGGCAACAATTAGGTGACTAAATATCCTCAATGAAAATTCTGGAGGAGTTACCAGTATGCAACCACTGAGTAGCTCAGAGGTAGATGCTAGAGATAGTATAGGGTCYGGTGTGCAATCTTTGGATGCTCACCAAAGAAACAATGATGCTGAAAACTCAGATCTCCAACYTGAGGGTARTTCTATCTCCAATCTAGTCCTAGCATCGGAAGAATGACTAGAGCTTCCAACTTTCCTAAAAAATTTGATGATTTTGTAATAGAAGGCAAGGTTAAGTATGGAATAGAAAGAGTGGTAAATTACTCTAACCTG